GGCACGCATCCACTCCATCCATGCCCATTTCTCTTCTGGGGTCCTCTTGGGTAGGACTTGCAACAGCACCAGTAACTCTCTGTCTGCCTCAGCTGTGTCTGGTTGTGCACAGCTCACCCTCCACACCTGGCTGTGATTCCAAATGGCTCCTCTGTCCTGCTGCCCCCAGGCTCTTCAGCCTTTTTGGCTTTTGTTTGTCTCAACCTCATAGAATACATTTCCTTATCATATGGAAGCCCCACCCTGATGAAGGGTGAGGCACGCAGTAATTCCAGACACCTGGGCATGGACAGGGGTACCAGCTCCCAACGAGGTAACAACTCCCTCCAAAGGAATCTCTCCTGAACCCAAATCCTATCCTTTTATTGTCTCCAAGGGAGTGAAGGAAATGAGGACTGGTGGAACCAGTTTCCCACCACATCCTTCAAAAAGTCTGCAAATGGTGACCTGGCTTGGGAATTGTTTGTCTATTAGTTTGGGAAATTTTGGTTAAAACTTCACTTTTCACATTCTTTGCAGCAAAGATGAATCTCTTCTTAAGAGGAGTGCTCACAGCTGCTAAAATGATGTTTTTGCTGAATCAATATGTGTATATACGCATTTTTCTGGAGAGAGTTCATAATTCTTATGGGGATTCTCAGAGGTGTTTCTGATCCTATAAAGTTTAAGAATCACAACAATAAAAGGTTAATTATTTTAAGTTAATATCTAATTCAACTTATAGGTGAATACTGTTACGTGATTGGCCATTTAGGTGTTGAGAACATAATGCCAGCACAATCAAAATCATTTCAGCAATTTGGCTTGAACTTCCTCCAAATACTGGCATTTACAGTGGAATAAAATAGAAGTGAGGTGGTAACTGTGTTCTTCTCCTTAAGGTGCTTTTCCAGGCACCTCCTTCCAAATATCCGTTCCACTCCTTCTCTTCACTTCCAACACTTCCCTTTCCCAGGGAAATTCCATCTGGATTGGCCCTAACCCAATCTTCAGCTGGCCTGTGAAGGTAGCAGAGTGTGGGTCTTCTGGGGAGTGCTGAAATGGGACACACCCACAGAGCAAGGGTTTTCACGGAAGGCGGCTTTCAGGAGCTCTCAGGTCCGCATTTCATACATCATACTATGACAGTGACCTTGGGAAATACAGAAAGGAAAAAAAAAAGTACCGACTCTAGGACAAATTTCTCAGTGAGAAAAATGAAAGGTCAGTGTTCACCTAACCGTGACCGACGAAATGAAATGGACAAGGAAGGTGAGTGTGTTTATTCCTTTTTTCCCTTGAGGTCTTCTTGGGGACATTACGTGAGGCTCTGTGACCTAAGTTTTCTTATTATTTAATGAACACATCAAGCAACAAGTTATTTCCTGAAAACGCACACTTTCACATTTCCGTGCCTAAGTTGGTGCTAATTCCTTCAGCTCAAAGGCCTCTTTTCTGACAATCAAAATGCTTTGAGACACAGATCAAATTTGGATGCAGCCGCATATAATAAAAACCTAAGTAATATTGTTTTAACTAAGAGACGCGTTTTTTCCTCCAAATACAACATGTTCGGGAAGGTAGCTGTTCTGGGCTGGCGTGGGAGCTCCGCACACTCAACCGGGATCCAGACCCTCATTCTGCTGCTGCACTGGCCCAAGAACATGGCTCCACCGCGCCGGCACATCCTTTTCCAGGCAACAGAAACAAAGGGGCAAGGTAAAGCCGTGCTCTTTCTTTTAAAAAGCCCCTTTAGGCCGGGTGCAGTGGCTCAAGCCTGTAATCCCAGCAGTTTGTGAGGCTGAGGCGGATGGATCACGAGGTCAAGAGATCGACCATCCTGGTCAACATGGTGAAACCCCGCCTCTACTAAAAATACAAAATTTAGCTGGGCATGGTGGCGCGTGCCTGTAATCCCAGCTACTCAGGAGGCTGAGGCAGGAGAATTGCTTGAACCCAAGAGGCAGAGGTTGCGGTGAGCCGAGATCTCACCATTGCACTCCAGCCTGGGTAACAAGAGTGAAACTCCGTCTCAAAAAAAAAAAAAAGCCCCTTTAAAGAGCACCAGCCGGAGAGGTGGAAAGCAAGGGGAGGGAGAGCCTTAGGACAAATACCTAATGCATTCGGGGCTTAAAACCTACATTACGGGTTGATGGGTGCAACAAACCACCATGGCATATGTATACCTATGTAACAAACCTGCACGTTCTGCACATGTATCCCAGAACTTAAAGTAAAATAAAATAAAGAGCACGGTCCAACCACTTCCTCTTTCATGTAATTGATCACCCCACTCTGTAGGTAAGACCGGGAAAGGTCGCTTCTCCATCGGGCACATTGTCCGAACCACTACTGTATGAAGAAAGAGCATGAATATCAGGTGGACAACTTGACAGGGCTCCCCACCTATACGAGCTCACTTCTTTGTTATACAAAATATGGAACATGTTTTAATGGGTTTTCTTCACTAAACCAGGGGTAGCAGTGGTTCTACGGACATTTGGGGCTGCCTCATTCTTTGTTGTGCGGACTTCCTGGTGGATGGTAGGATGCTTAGCAGCATCGGAAGCCTCTAACCACCAGAGGCCAGTAGGATCACCGCTCTATTGTGACAACCAAATATATCTCCAAACATTGCCAAATGCTCCTGAGGATGGAGTGGGGGGTCATCCCCAATTAGAAACCACTGCACTAGACCGCTCTAATCATCTTTGAATCCCCTCCTCCCAGCGTAATAATAGTGATTATTAATTGTTATGATAACTACGTATTTTAGCATCTAAGGTTATTTTAACCACTTCTGTTATACTCATTTTTTGCTTTTGTTTTTGTTCGAGACTGAGTCTGGGGTGGAGTTTTGTTCGACACTGTAGCCTGGGCTGGAGTGCAGTGGCACAATCTCGGCTCACTGCAACCTCTGCCTTCCGGGTTCAAGCATTCTCCTGCCTCAGCCCCCGGAGTAGCTGGGATTACAGATGCCTGCCACCACACTGGACAATTTTTTTGTATTTTTAATAGAGACGGCGTTTCCCCATGTTGGTCAGGCTGGTCTTGAACTCCTGACCTCGAAATCCACCTCTCGCGGCCTCCCAAAGTGCTGGGATTAGGGGCGTGAGCCACCGTACCTGATCTATACTCATTTTTATATGTGAGAATTGAACTCAGAAAGAACTTTCCCAAGAAATGAGAGCTAACAAGTGAGTTCAACCAAGGTCTGATTTTTTTTTTTTTTTTTTTTTTTTTTGCCAATCAGTTTGAGCTTATGAGGTTGCTCAGGTTAGCCTTGAACTGATGACCTTGCCTTCGCGAGCGCCATGACCTCCAGTGGGAGCCACTTTGGACCCCCCAAGGTCTGATTTTTAAGTATTGCTCTTCTGAACCTCCATCCACTGCCCTGTTCACCACCACACAACCACCTGCCGTCCAACCCTGTAGCGTAACAAGCATTCAGGAAACTTCTGTTGAATTATATTTAAATAAGAAAAAAATTGATATACTGAAGCCCAGGAATAAATCATTGGCATTTTAAAACACTATATAAAGATTTTAGAAGGAAGGGAGGGAGTCAGGAGCAAGGGACAGGAAGGAAGAGAGGGAGGAAGGAAGGAAGAGGGAGAAAAAGGAAGTCGGGGAAGGGAGGAAGAATGGGAGGAAGGAAGGACCACAGATTCCTCAAGACCTTTAGTTTAGTTGTTCCTTAAGGTATCTACTTCTAGAGCAGGCAAGGAGATGCCTACCTTACCAGTCATGAGTGATTGTAAAAGGTAAAGCATCACAGAATACAAGCTGGACCACTTTTATCTTAGACTCCCGAGGAGCAAGTCATGTTTTTTTATTTTTATCCTTTAGCAGACAAGGTGCCATTGTTGATGATAAAATTTGACTATCAGTTTCTGCTTCAGTAGTAAAACTGAAGTGGTCCAAGCCAGGCACAGTGGCTCACACCTCCCAGCACTTTGGGAGGTTGAGTTGGGTGGATCACTTAAAATCAGGAGTTTGATAAAAGCCTGGGCAACATAGTGAGATTCCCATCTCTATTTTAATTTTTTTAATGTTGTAAAAAAAATTGAAGTGGTCCAGAGAGCCACTGAAATATGCAGTCATGGCAAATGAAGTGAAGGCAAAGGCAGCCGGTAGTTAAACTTCTGCCTCGATAGGTCTTGCCTCCCTGGGTTATTTGCAGTCTGCTACAGATCTCACTCAGGAATTAGGACAAAGCAGTAAAGGAATTCAAATAAATCAGAAGTAAATATGCTCCTGCCACTGGCATGAATTGCAGTAGCCATTCCCTCCCTCTCACCCAGATGAGTGTGTGTAGGTGTGAAGAGCAAAATTAATAATTCGCAATTGCTGTACAATAAAGCCAGTTTACTGCGTTGTGTTCAGTATGAAACCTAACCCCCAGCTCTGCTTAAAATTAACTAACTCCTTGCAAGCCATTCTACCTTATCTATCCTCCTCACCTTCTCAGCACAGTCACCAGGCATCTCAAGACTCCTGTTTTTCTTACTGACCAGCTACAAGGTCACAGGGCAAGATAACACCCAAAAAATATACAATGTATTTCTCAAGATGCTATTTTTCAAATGTAACATACATCACAAGACATGTTACAGGTTAATTAACTGTTCATTGTTCTTGATTCTGTAAAATTACTTCCTGTTTGGTCATCCTGTATCACAAAGATGCTTAAAAGACCCTCAGTTTCTTAGTAGGAGACTCAGTCTTAGAAAGCAATTCCACTGAGCCCGTAATCACATTAAATAAAATCAGCCTGCTTCCCCTTTGGTCTCTCCAAGTCTCTAAATTCCCACTTCAGGTGAATGTTCTGTGGAAAATAGAACCACTTTGCTTTTTGGAGTCAGGCCTGAATTCAGAAAATGTTATGTGGTGAGCATTTGTCCCTCTTTATTATATCTAGTGCTTGCTTGAATTTATTTATTAAGTGGCCCTGAGTTCCTGAAATATTTATTAGCTATTGCACATTTTATTCACCATTGTGAGAAATATTAAAAATCAGGGAGACTTCACTTGTCCTTTTTAATTTTTTTAAATTGTAGTAAAACATAACATAAAGTTCACCCACTGTAACCATCTTTAAGTGTACAATTCAGTGAGATTAAGGACATTTCACTTGCCTTTCTACATAGTCTGACGCTAATCAGTAATTATGCACCTACAAGCTTTAGTGCTATTTTGGCTACCAAAAATAAAAAATCCTATGAGACACATAAGGTTTTATAAATGACAGACTCTTATTTAGTAATGTCATGTTTTTCACCAGAACATTAAATTTTTCCTACAACCCCGTTAAGCGTGTCTTAAAAGGGAGTCGATGTTGCTAATTTTTTTCCTCCTGATCTCTTTTATCATCTCACTGGTTTATAAGGTATTAGATTCACCCGAGACCAGAGCTATTGCTTCTTTGGAAATGCCTGGGACACCAAAGGTTTTTCGGTTAATTTCAGCATAGGAATGAAAATGAAGAGTTGATTAGTTTAATTTTCCTAAGAAATGAAGGATGGTCCACAATGTCTCTCATGCTATTTACAGCACTTTTCTTTGACCTGCAGGGATCCTTCACACTCGTCCTAATAGCCCATTTCCACTTTGCTTCTCATCTGCTTCCCTGATCTTTTTATACTGCAGTCAATAAAACGTAGAACCTTTGCACTTAGTATCTTAGAATATTTAATAACAATAATTAGTCAAATAGATGCCCAAGGATAACTAGTAAAAATAATTGCTCATAAAATATGCTATGGCATTTTCCTTTCATAGTATAACACGAATGTGATACATATAATCCTATGTGTAGCTTAGGAAATAAAGTATTATGACCCATTATTCTCTTCCTAAATATAGGAACTAAAGTATGAAAGAAGCTAAACAGGAAAATCACGATTAGAATAAGGAGTGGAATTAAATTATAACTAGATTAATGTCAAATTAATACTCTCTTTGTAGAAGTAGAGAAATATTATTTTAATCCTGAAGAAAAATTATCTTAAAATTCATTTCACGTCTTGCCAGATTTCTAGGCATTGGTATATTGTGGTTAATAAAACATAAAACTATTGTTTCTCTTTCTTAATATATGCAACAATGGCAATTAGCTACAGCAATGCACCAACATAATTTTCGACCTGCTTTTAAAATATCACCTAGCTTCTTAGTAATTGAAAGCACTGAGATGTAACCGATATTGCAGAATTACTTTTAACCACTAGAGGGCATAAAATACTCCACATTTGTACCTAATTTTAAATTCTTAGACAAAAATAACAATAACCCCCACCACCAGCACAACAAAAAGACCTTATTGTTTTATCATTTACACTTAAGACTCAGTTAATAACCTTAAATTTTTTTAATTTTAAACTGATCGCCTCAATCCAACTGTTTAAAGAAGCCAAAGGAAGCATGTTTGTTGCATGTTAGTTACAAGTTAAGGATTATTTCTCAGCAGCGGGGAATTGGCACATCCTCTAGGAAAGGCAGAGAACTTAAAACAGCACCAATTGAGAATAAGCAAGACTATTTTTACAGTAAAAATATCTGCAGTGGAATGCCATGGCGGTATTTATTATAAAATTGGAAAGTCACCAAAATCCACAAAGCAATCTAATGCAAAAATATTTACATTTGAAACTTTCATTTCTATATGTATTCTCTTTTACTACAAACCAACTAGTTGTGGCAAAGATCTAATTGTGGCAAGATGGTTTCAGTTTCCTCCTAATTTATCTATATGACCTAATTAACTTTTGCTTCCCTCCCACAGAAGCCATTTGCATTTCAGTAACTAAGGCATTACTTTGTTGAATGAGAAAGTACAACCTCCTCACTTTTTCACTTTCGTTGATTAAAACACATCATGGTAAATTAAGCCATTTGGATTTCAGTCTGGGTGGGTGACATTTTAACTACTGCCCCTTCAACCTTCTCTCTCTGTCAATCTCAGCCATGTCCTACATCATCGGAGAGTGAGGGGGCAATGGCAGCAGGCTGATGGAGGAACAGAGCCGGCAGGGAGCCAGGGGTTGTACATCACTGCAGTCTGTGACTTCTCTGATGCATGAGGCACTCACTTGCCCATCAAACCTGATACAGCTTTTACCTTGTAGGGTTATGCGTGACTTTATCCAAGACACGAAATCATTTCTCAGGTCTGGTTTCTTAACCTATAAAACCTGCTTTCCCCACTTTTCAGGTCTCCCCACTCTTCACTCTAACATTAATAAACACAGCACAGTGCTACAGAAAAGCTAGGGGTGGGACAGAGTGGGGGTGTCGCTCCTTGTGGACTAAGAAAGGCAATGCACTTTAAAAGCAGAGCTGGTCACAGAAGAGAAAAGCTTCTGTATTATCACCTACTGGTGGCAGTTACAAACCAGAAAATTTGAAAGAAGCTTCTAATAATTATAGCCGCCCAGAAATAGATATAACATGAGTCACAGGAAGGTGTTCAAGGATGGTTATACAACAGGAATGTCACAGATGCCATTTCTGCATGAGGTGTGAAGATTTATGAGTTGACTTCTAAACCCTTATAATTCTTCTTTTAAAATTAGTTTTATGCTTAACAAAGTAATACATGTATAAAGTTTAATAATTCCAAAGAATTCCATAAGGCTGTTAATCAAATTAATCACCCCAGTTTTCCAGGGACAGTTCTGTTGTGTATGAGTCAGCTTGAGCTGCCACAACAAATACCATAGACTAGGTGGCTTAAACAACAGACATTTATGTATTTTTGTTTTTGGCCATTCTGGAGAACAGAAGTCTGAGATTGGGACGCCAGCAAGGTGGAGTTCTGGCAAGGGCTGTCTTCCTGGCTTGCAGATGGCCACCTTCTCACTATACATTGGCACCTCTTTTCCTTGGCACGTGTACATGAAGAGATAGCTACCACTCTCTTCCTCTTCTTATGAGGACACAGTCCATTAGGATTAGGGCCCATCATTATGACTTCATTGAACCCTAAGTACCTCCTAAAGACCCTGTCTCCAGATACAATCACATTGAAGGTTTAGGGCTTCAATCTATGAACAATCACATTGAAGGTTTAGGGCTTCAATCTATGAACTTGGAGGAGGGGGGACACAACTAAAAGCAGTCTTGAAAAACCAGTCGTCTTGAAAGAGTAAACACCAGCTGCCTGGCGCTTCACAGCCTTGACTCAGCCACGGTTATCATCATTTGCCATCACATGAATTCACACAAAGATCAAATACTGGTGATCCACAACAGCTGAATATTATCTTCTCTAGGTACACATATATATGTATGTTTCTTCTATAACACTATTGTTATTGTGAGAAAAATTTTACAGACAGCTTTAACTTCAAGAAAGCAAAAAAATCATTCAAGCTAAGTATTGTCAAAACAATTTCCCCCATAGCTCACAAACATTGTCCTCAGAGCGCTGCTATTCAACTTGTGGTCTCTGTCCAGTAATAAACACAGATCCATGACAAGATGAGAAATTGAGCTGACATGTTTGGAAACTTTTACAGAAATTTGACACTGTCACAATATCCAAGCTCACAGTCACTTTTTTTATATTTTACAAAAGTACCAATTTACAATACATTGGAAACTTTAAAAACCAGTCCTTCACCAATGTCAGTTTGAGAGGCACCGCTCTGGGTAGTAGGGTCAGGCTGCCCTCCTGCCGATAAGATTGTATTTTGCTGCCTCCTTGAGACTTTATTGTTCAACCATTTCAAGTTCACGTTCAGGTTAAGGGCAAAAGGACCTTCTGAGATTTGGTCTTTGATCAGCTGGAGAACTTTGACTGAATGTTTAGCAGTTTTAGGAGATGGGGCTACCTTATTTTTAAGTTCAATAGAAATGGAGGGTACATGAATACCCTAAAACGGAGATTGGCATACTTTTTCTAAGCCCTGGACAGCTTTCTTCAATTGAGCTCTTGCTTGAATGCCTGGTGGAAGAAACAGATAAAGTCAGATAATTCACATAACATGTAAGCAACCGTTTTAAAGTGAACGGTGTGGTGGAATTTAGCACATTCGCAATGCTGTGCAACCCTCCACCCCTACCTCATTCCAAACATTTTCATCACCCCGAAGGGAAACCTCATACCATTACGCAGTCACTCCTTATCCTCCCCTCACCCAGACCCTGGCAATCACTGTTCTATTCTCTGTCTCTAAATTCGACTAGTTAGGTACCTCATATAAGTAAAATCATACAATGTATGTCCTTTTGTGACTGCTTCTTTCACTTAGCATGTTTTCAAGATTCATCCATGTGGTAGCATGCATCAGAATGTTTTTATTTTGTAGGGCTGGATGATATTCCATGGTACCTGATACCACATTTTGTTTATCCGCTGATGAACATTTGGGTTGTTTCCACTTTATAGTTAACCCTTAACACAGGTTTAAGCGGTGTAGACTTACCTAAAACTGGTAGAGTCTAAGTAGTTAGTACATGATATACCCATCATTCTGCTACATTTTTATGCTCAAATTTACTAATTTATGCTAGTTTTTCTCGGTTTAACTCATTTGCTTGTTTCTACTTTTAAGGCAAATATATATTTCAAAATGACACCAAATATAAATGTATCCTCATGTGAAAATGTGTTCTTGATCCATCAGTGTCTCCTCCAGCATCTCAGGTCTTCAAAGATAGTGAGCCGTTCTAGGTAGAGGGTGAAGGATTATAACCCCATATTTTAGGCTGGGAGCTGCTTCTGCCCCCACGTCCACTTATTAATAAAATAAATTATTTTCAATAAATGCAGTGGCCTCTCGGTATAAGTTCCACATCTGCAACCAAACACAAAATCAAAAATACAGTACTCAGGGTATGTGAAACTCACCCATACAAACAGCCAACACTTTGGGTCCATGGGTTCCCTAGAGATAACATGGAGACTTGAGTATGCACTGAGTTTGGTCTATGCAGGGGATCTTGGAACGAACCCCTTGCAGATCCGGAGGGACGGCTGTATTACTGACTTTGGTCACATGGTGTAATATACATCTCTTGCACTTTTTCCTGTCTGAAATGTTGTGTTCTTTGACCAATATTTCCCCCATGCACAGATGATTTAATAGGAAATTGGTTACACATGGTTTAAAAAAGCAAAATGGAAATGGGGAATAACCCAGGCATTTATAACTTCAAAAAGAAACTGCTAGCCCTAGAACAGAGAGGTCAAAAGAAAGAAGTGGTATTTCTAGAACCCGAGAGCTTACAGGTTTCCTATGTGGGTTGGTGCACAGACCTCCAGGGACAAAGGCTTGTCACATGTAGATTTTACATTTCTGAGAAAGGGACACTGTGCAGCCAGTGCATGGACCTCTGAAAAGGTGCATGACCCAGTAGGTGTACAGATGACCCAAGGGCAAGGCCCAGCAGATGAAGGGTGAGGCATAACTGGCACCCTTCTGTCAATGATGTAACCTGGCTGCTGGCTGCTGCCAGTACCACTGATGCTCACAGCAAAGCTGATGCAGGGCACTGCCAGAAGCAGCTGGAGCTGGCACTATAGGCATATACTACTGCTGGACACAGAAGTGGAAAACAGCAAAGAAATCCTTTCTCCTCTCCTCCTGCCTTACACACTCTTCCATCATGCCTCTCATGGGCAGAATCTAATGGAAGGTTGGCTTGGCTAACAAGAGCATGAGAAATGTAATTTACAGAATCTCTGACCAAGAATTGCAGAAGGGTGGGCTTCAAAGTGAAGTCCATAGGTAAATTACTAGCATAGCCCACTCCCTTGGCTACTCAGTATCCATACACACCTTCCTGCCACAGTTAAATGTCCGTGCAGCAACATAACAAGCTTCCACATAAAAACATGCCTTTATTTTTTCACACAAATGCCAACTCTATCATCCTCTCCCCAGAAGGTCCTCACAGTAACCATATCCATTTCTGAGTGTTTTCTTGTTTAGTTTAGTTACAATCTCACCAAAATATTCTGAACCCTATATACTAAATTGTAAAGTCAACTGCCGACAACCATCCTAGTATAAAAGTAGAGGAAAGGCACAAGACAGAACGAATCATGTGATATATATGAACATCTATGTAACAAGTGTTATCTATTGCTTCAGAATAAATCACCCCAGAACTTGGTGATTTTAAACACCATTATCTCTTGAGATTAGGTAGGTTTAGCTGAGATCATCTGGGTAGTTCTGCTGGCCTCACTTGGGGCCCCTTATGGGGTTGCAGTCATATGTCAGCTTGGGCGGGAGTCATCTCCTCAGATAACTGGGACACGCTGACATCACGGCTTCTGTCTTTATGATTCTTTACACAGGGTCTCTCCTGCAAGAGAATACTCATTTTGTGATGGCTTAGGGACCCCAAAAGCAAGGGATCCAAGAGGAAGACAGTGAATGCTACCAGTTCTCTGAAAGGCTGGGTCTAGAACTGGTACGGCGTCACTTCTGTATTCAAGTGGTTAAAACACATCACAGACCAGTGTATACCATGTGGGAGGGAACTGCACACGAGCAGGAATCACAGGAGACATGGTTCACTGAGGCCATCTTTGGAGTCCAGCTACCGGCAGACTCTAGGAAGAAAATACACAGCATTCCTGCAGGCCCTCATGTCTTGGTGACTCCAGACACTTCTCTGACTTCTTTAATCTGAGTTCCCATTATTATTACCTGGATTACTGTACCAGCCTCTCCACTGGCCTCCCTGCTGCAAGGAGGCCAGTGGAGAAGCTGGTACAGTAATCCCTCCTCCTCAGGGCTCAGCAAGATTTTTCTGCAAAGGACCCAATAATAAACATCTTGGGTCCTTTGCAGAAAACTGTGTGCCATGCAGTCTTTGTTGCACCTACTTGACAATTACTCAGCTCTGCCATTGCAGCCCCAAAGCAGCCACAGACAGGAGGTGAACATAGGGGAGGAACTGTGGCTCCAATAAACCTTTATTCACCAAAACAGGTGGTGGGCTGGATCTTTGCCAACCCCTGCTTGACTTCATGGCAACACTGATCTTTATATTTATGCCTCTTAAAAATAGGTGTAAATCGAGTGCTGTGATTCATGCCTATACTCCCAATACTTTGGGAGGCCAAGGCTGGAGGATTGCTTGGGGCCAGAAGCTTGAGATCAGCCTGAGTAACAGTAAAATCCTGTCTCTACATGAAACAACGTCAAAAGTAACTGGGCCTGGAGAGGCCCACACCTGTAGTCCCAACTACTCAGGAAGCTGAGGTGGGAGGATCACTTGAGCCTGGGAAGTCAAGGCTGCAGTGAACTGTGATTGGACCGCTGCACTTCAGCATGGGCAACAGAGACCCGGCTGCATGCTGAATATATATTTTGAGACCCTGTCTCAATATAGATACATGTGTGTGTGTGTATGTATATATTTGTGAGTGCATGTGTGTGTATGTGTAATGGTTGTTTATAAGAAACACATTTAATTAATCACAGTCAACACTCAAATAATACACATAGTGTAGGAAACTAACAGAGCTACACCAGCGACTCTTCCCCCCACCCATTTTTTACGCTGCTGTCATACATTTACTTATATGTGTTCTATAAATTGATAACACATTGCTACTATTTTTACTTTAGAAAGCCGACATTCAGAGTAAGTAGAAATGAGAAAACTCATGTCTGTTATATTTACCCTGGTGTACATCCAAGTCTCTGCCTAGTATCACATTCTTTCCATCTGAAGAACTTCCTTTAACATTTCTTATTGGTAATAAATCCTCCCAGTTTTTGTTTGTTTGAAAAGTCTTTATTTCTCTTTGATTCTTGAAAGAGTTTTTTTCTGTTTATAAAATTTGAGGTTACCAGCTTATTTTTTCTTTCAGAATTTTCAGGCTGTATCACTCCTTGTCTTCTGACTTGCATAGTTTCAGACAAGACATATTTGTAATTCCTCTGTGATGTGTGCCTTTAAATTTTCTCTTCGTCTTACTTTCTCAGCAGTTTGAATATGATGTGTCTAGGAGTTACTTCTCCTTGAGACTCTCCAAGATTTTTGTAGCATAATATTTTTCATTGAAAAAACTATTGGAGGCCGGGCGCAGTGACTCACGCTTGTAATCCCAGCATTTTGGGAGGCTGAGGCGGACAGATCACTTGAGGCCAGGAGTTCGAGATCAGCCTGACCAACATGGCAAAACCCCATCTCTACTAAAAATACAAAAATTATCTGGGCGTGGTGGTGGGCACCTGTAATCCCAGCTACTTGGGAGGCCAAGGCAGGAGAATCACTTGAACCCAGGAGGCAGAGGTTGCAATGCACAGAGATAGCATCATTGCACTCCCGCCTGGATTTCAAGAGTGAAACTTCATATCAAAAAGAAAAGAAAGCTATTAGCCATCAGCCATCATCTCTTCAAACTGTTTATATTGTCCCACAGCTTTAGTGCCCTATTTTTTTGTTTTGTTTTGTTTTCACTCTTTTCCTTGTGTCTCAGTTTAGGTGATTGATTGATTGATTGATTTTTATTGTTTTGAGACAGGGTCTCACTCAGTCACAGTTTAAGTAACTTCAATCAGCCTTCACGTTCACTGCTTTGTTCTTCAGCTGTGTTTGACAGAACAGGAGCACCATCATCTCAGACAAACACCGCCACTTTAAGTTCCAGTTCCCTTTCTAGCCTTATGCATTTTAAGGAAATCCCTTCTCTTCTAACTACAATCAGCCAGAAAGGGCAGACAGTAAAACACAGACAAAACAGCTCAGGCACAAAGGAAAGTCGGAAAGTCTCTTGGGTAACTGTCAAACTTCACCCTCATACAACAGACCCAGTAAAACAGTGGGCCTTAATAAGCACATTCTTTTCACTTCAGGTGCACTAAGATAGGAAAGCTGAAAGCAAACTCTGATGGGTATACCTGCAGCTGCACAAAAATGTATGGAAACAAACACACAACTCTCCCTCCCAAATAAGCACAACAGAGAAACACAAAGCAGTCCAAGTCTCTAATAAACTCTCACACCCTAAATCCTTAAAAACCCTCATTCTGTAAAAAAACATGTCTCTAACTTAACTCGGCCAAAAGGCCCTCTCAAGTTTGTTTTCTCTAAAATAAACCTGTCCTTAACTGCCAAGCCACCTTTCATGTTTCTTTCCTCTTTAATTCTTACAGTGTTGAGCCTACTGATAGGCCTGTCAAATGCACACGCCATCTATGATACTATTGGTATCTTTTTTTTCTTCTGGCATTCCCATTGGACTCTTCCTTACAACTGCCATCTCTCTGTTGACATCTCCCATCTATTCATGCATGTGGTCCTCCAGAGTCTGGTTCTGTGGATTGATTTGTCTCCTGACAGTGGGTTGTTTTTGGTTGCTCTTTTGTGTGTCCTGTGATCTTTGATTGAATGTTAGACATGTGTAGGACAGTAGAGACTGAAGCAAGAAGTATTTATGCCTGGAAATGGGAATGCCTTTCCTTCTACTACCTGCTGGTGTGAGGGGTTGACTTGATCTAGTGATGAGCTGAACTGGGTCTGGGTTTAGCTGTTGCCATTTTAGTTCAGTGCACCACTGAACTTCTAATCCCCTAGTGCTGCTGCATTCCTAGGTGAGGGCCGGGCTCATATTCATGCTCCACCCTTAGCTTTACACCTTCCCTGTGTGCCCATTCACACTTTTTGGCCATTCCTTGCTGTAGACCCCTATTACTTGTTACCTGGTGCTTGCTGACCTGGTGTGGGTTCAGGGCTGCTGTCTGTCATTTGTTCCAGTCTAAGGGTGAGGAAGGCCCAGTGTTCCAGGGCCCAGAGAATGGGGCTTTTTTATCCATTCTTTCTTCCCCAGGAGAAGGGGCCCTCTGATGGACTGGGACAATTTCCTGCCCCCACTTGCAGTGGGGGTTATTTTCTTTTCCTTTCAACTGTGAATCCAAAAAATCTGAGACAGGTCTCAGTTATTTTAGAAAGTTTATTCTGCCAAGGTTGAGGACATGTGCCCTTGACACAGCCTCAGGAGGTTCTGATGACATGTGCCCAAGGTAGTAGGGGCGCCACTTGGTTTTATACATTTTAGGGAGACTTGAGACGTGAATCAATATGTGTAAGATATACATTGGTCCAGTCTGGGAAGGTGGGACAACTCAAGATGAAGGTGGGAAGCAGGGAGGGGCTTCCAGGTCCCCATAGGTAGATAAGAGACAAATGGCTGCATTCTTCTGAGTTTCCACTTAGCCTCTCCAAATAAAGCAATCAGATATGCATTCACGTTAGTGAACAGAAGGGTGACTTTGAACAGAACGGGAGGCAGGTTTGCCCTAAGCCGTTCCCAGCTTGACTTTTCCTTTCAGCTTAGTGATTCTGGGGCACCAAGATTTCTTTTCCTTTCTCACCACCTACCACAGTGGAATTTTCCTGCAGCCCGAGGCCAGCAGGGTTTGCTGCTCTTTCCCCAGAAGGCATGGCTTTTGTTTGTTAGGGAAGAAGAGCCTGGAGGAGCTTTGTGCATTTCCTGCAGCGGCAGCTGCTCCCCTGCCCCAGGCTGGCACTGCTGTGGGAGGCTCTCTCTGGTCTCCCACCCTGCACCCAATGCGTTCATGTGTGAGGGGGGCTCAGTGGCACCTGCAAGCAAGTGTGGACTCCGCTTGTCCGAAGATCCCAGGAGGTCCACACTTTCATGAGGACTCCTCACAGCCTGCAGTGATTCTTTAAAGGCATCAGCTGAGCCAGTCTTGCCCACCTATATGGCAGGGCTGTCTCCTTCCTGTGCTTGGCAACAGGCAGCCGTGTTCACACCTCCTCTCCTCAGAGGCTCCTGCTTTCTTTCAACCTCAGGCTTAGTGGTTGCCCTGTGACTTCAGCTTCTGATGGGTTCAGGGAAAGGTATGATCTTGTAGATTATCTGCTGTTTCAGTGTTGCCAGGGGAGTGGGGCCCTTTCTGATTTGCTACTTCCTAGGTGGCAGCTGGAAGCCAGAGCAATATTTGCAAACATCAATCAGATCACATCTCCTCATTGCTGAAAACCATGCTGAACACAATCAGAATGAAATCTCCATGTGGTGCAAGGAGGCTTTCAAGCCCCACTTGGCCTGGCCCCTGGTGTCCTCTCAACCTCAGCCCTCCTGACTCTCCAGGGGCCACTGCCCCAGGCCATATAAGGCTCATTCCCAGAGAAATGCTCCACTCCTCATTCCCGCCCTGAGGGCTTTGCATGGCTTTTCCCTGTACCAGCAACGCTATTTCCTCCATTCTCACTCAGGTCCTCCAAACCTCAGTTCAAAGGTTACCCTCTCTGAAGGCCCTCCTAAAGTTTCCCCTCTCCCGGATCCCATAAAAGTTAAAACGTCTTACCACATTACATATGATTTTGGAAGCTTCTCAAAATTTGTTTTTGGAATGCAGGAGATGGATAAAGATGAGATTTCTCCCAGCCGTATTTATTTGGTCCTCAATATTTTGCTCAAACCATCCAGGCTGGTACTTCTCAACCTTAGCTGAGACAACAGCAGCCACCTGCCAAGGATGAAGGCCCATAATAGGCTGTTCTGGGCACCTGGATGCAGGTGGGGTCAGGGACCAGACACCTCTATAGGGTCAGCCTCCTGGGATCATTCAGAGACCAGAAAAATATCCAGTTTTTGGTAGGAAGCAAGAATCTGGTGACCGCTCCATTCTGCTTCAAGCCTCACTCACTCCGGCCAGTGAAGGTACTTCAGGAACAACACCAGCCAAGCAAGGAGGGTGTTGAGTTTGGATGAATTCTGCCGTCTCACCTACGGCAAGATGAGAAGACCTCTGGGCAAACTGGCGCCTGTTTCCTTGCCGGCTCTGGAATCTGCTCTCCACATGACTCAAAAAGAGCCTTTGCTTGCAGTACAAAGTGGGGAAGGGTGCACTCTCCCTCTCCTCCACCTTGCCGGGAGCCAGCACCCACCACGCCGGATCTCTCCTAACAACACAGGCCTCCTACACATTGTGGTTTGTGAAGTGTGGTTTCTCCCTCGTGGCCTACTGTTTTGGCAATGCTCTCATTTTATTGGAATTTATGCCTAAGTTTAATTTAGTTGCAAAGAGCTTCTTTAGGAGGTTTTGGTTTCCATCATTTATTTGCTGGTTTTCTGAATTAAAAATGTGATACCCCATTTTATTTTATTTTATTTTTATTGCATTTTAGGTTTTGGGGTACATGTGAAGAACATGAAAGATAGTTGCATAGGTACACACGGGGAAGTGTGATTTGCTGCCTTCCTCCCCTTCACCTATATCTGGCATTTCTCCCTATGCTATCTCTCCCCAACTCCTCCCAACCCCCGATACCCCATTTTATTATGTGGACTTAGTGTAATGAAGTCAATGCTTTCAAAATTCTAAACATGCAAACTTTTGGCAGGGCATAGTGGCTCATGTCTGCAAAACAGCATTTTGGGAGGCCAAGGTGAAAGGATCACTTGAGCTCAGGAGTTCAAAACCAGCCTGAGCAATGTGGCAAGACTCTGTCTCTCCCAAAAAAAAAAAAAAATTTTTTTAATTATAAAATTAGCGGGACATGGTGGCATGCACCTGTAATTGTAATGACTGGGGAGACTGAGGAAGAAGGATGGTGTGAGCCCAGGAGATTGAGGCTGCAATGAGCTATGATCACACCACTGCACTCCAGCCTGTGCAACAGAGCAAGACCCTACCTTAAAAAATAAATGAACATGCAACTTCGGTCCTGTTGACTATGCAGCCAAACAGAAACCAAAAGCTTATACCTCTTCTAAGGAATACTTCACTCAACACGGACTCTTCGGCATTACCTTTAATTAATGCAAATAAAACAAAGACTATAAAACGCTAGAAAAAGTTTTGGAAGGTTTTCTGCTCGTTCTGCAATTGCATGCTACAGCTACTTAAACACATTTTTTAAAATATACAGTTCCTAAATCTTATTACTTATCCCAATTAAAGCAGTAAATGAACAGTTTCAAAAACGGCCCTAAGGACAGAATGTCACAACCAAGTTTTAAGCAGGTGCAGAGAAGGCTGTGGACCACAGGGAGAGAGCCCGACATTTCTCAGCTGACGCCCCAGGGTAGGTGATTACTACAAAAGCTGAAGGAGCTCCAGTTTGGCTTTCAATCCATTTACATGAGAAGGTGGGAAGAGCAGCTGCTGTCACCAACACCCAGCACCGTGCAAAGCTGGGGAACAGAAACATCGAGTCATCTGGCCCAAACAAAAGACAAACTAGCACAAGAGACTGCAGCCCACCCAGGCTAATGCTGCATCTTTGTTCGGGCTCTGTCCTGGGCATGTGAAAGAAGAGCCCTCCTTTGGTCCTGATCAAGTATAGCCTTCCCGCCAGGAAGATTTACCCTTGCCATGTTGGTGAGTGCAGGCTTCTCACCTTCAAGGCAGTGCATGAGCACAGTGGGTCCCAGACACGTGGCTTTCCCTGTTCCCACACTGTTCACCACACTGCCCTTGCTCCTTGGGCTTAGGGGCCTGAATGGGGTGGAAGAGTCAGGCAGATACAAGCTGGCGCCCCAGAAGGGGTCTATAGTAGTGGAAACTCTGCTGGAAGCAAAGAGGGGGAACAATGCCCATGAGGACTGACGCCCTCCCAGCTCCAGAGGCAGCCTGGGGAAGAGGCTGCCCACACCTTTTCCCCGCTGTGCCCTTTGTCTCAGGGACACTTGGGACCGTGGGATGGATCAAGAGAAGCAGTGCTCCAGTGCTCATATGTGACCTGTCCTGGCTCCCAAGGTGGCCCCCAGGAGTGGTGTGGTGTGAACCCTGAAGGCAAGGTCTGCTCCTCAAGCAAGGGCTTCCCATCCTGAAGACCAGCACAGTCACTGAGGGGCTTTGGAAGAGGATAAACTCATGGGCCCTGTCAGAGGCTCTGAATCCACCCGTCTATTTCAGCTGCATCTGGAAGCTGGGACCTGTGACCTAGGTGACACGAAAGACCGCCTCCATGCACACTTCACCGAGTGTGCCCCAGCCAGGCCCGGCAGCCCTAGCTGAAATTTTTTTGGTTTTGTTTTTGTTTTGACAGAGTCTCACTTCATCACCCAGGCTGGAGTGCAGTGGTGCCATCATGGCTCACTACAACATCTGCCTCCCGGGTACAAGTGATTCTACTGCCTCAGCCTCCCAAGTAGCTGGGATTACAGGTGCATGCCACCACACCTGGCTAATTGTTTGTATTTTTAGTAGAGACAGAATTTTGCCATGTTGGCCAGGCTGGTCTCGAACTCCTGACCTCAAGTGATCTGCCCACCTTGGCCTCTCAAAGTGTTGGGATTATAGGCGTGAGTCACCGACCCGACCCCCAGCTGGACATTTAATGCTCATTTCACAAGGCTAGTTCCTTGCTATAAATGTATTGGACAACACAAAAAAAATGAAAATTCACAGACTGGGAAATTTGTTCTCAATATTTACACAAGATTTAAATCTGAGACCATCTTCTGCTGACAGAATTCAGTAATTGAGAGCCAGGAAGAGGTCCAAGTGCTCAGAGAAAGCTCAGTTTCTAATGTTCAGAGCCAAGAACTCTAATGGTCTATGCTCCTTACAGAAAATTGCATCCATTACACAGCAGTGGCCTTTCCCAATATTCCTTGGCCTTATGCAGACTGCAAGTGGCAATCCATTATGAGTTCTGAAATCATTTTAGTGGATCATATCCAGGGTTTTTAAAACTTCAGCTGGAGTAAAGAACAGAGCCAGGCACTGTGGCGCACACCTGTAGTCCCAGCTACTTGGGAGGCTGAGGTGGGAGGATTGCTTGAGTCCAGGGGTTCAAGGCCAGCCTGGGCAACATAAGACCCCATGTCTAAAAATAAACACAAAACCCAGCAGCGTGCACTGAGGTTGGTTGAGAGGGTACCTCTCACCTAACGAAGCAGTAGATTCTTCCTGTACTCACTGTTTGGGGCTATAAGCAAAGATCACACCCCAAAAGAATTAGGGCCACTACATAAAGAAAATGGAACAGGAAATCACAAAAATAATGAAAACTCACACACTTCAAAGCACATATGTAAACAATCTGCCATGCGTGATCCACTCCTAAAGAGGGCTATTTTTTTTGTTCCCTGGTCAAGGACTAAATGAAGAGAAATGGTGAGGGAAGCATCCAAGAACACACTACTGACTGTGGACAACAGCCAAGACCTCCACACGGAGGTCTCGCCTCCCACAGGGACACCCCCCAAGGATCTCCCCAAGAGGAGGCACCCTCACCTATGGCCTACGCTCTCAGGGTGTCTGTTAATAATTTCCCTGGTAGCCTCCTTAAAGATCTCTCAGAGCACACACAGTTCTGGAGACTGGCAGCTGTGGAGACTGGGAGATATCAGCACAGCCCTGGTGGGTTTTGATGCCACCGAGCACACAGCCTGTCACTTACTGGCAGACTTGGCAGGTGATGCCCAACTGCAGGCCCCCCGTGAAGATCTGACCTATGACACAGTTGCAGTGTTTGAGGTTGTTGGCCTTCTTCCCGTTGCCATCAGCTGGGGATAGACCATGGCTCTGGGATTAATGTCTGTGCACTCCAAAGATGGGGAGTCTCCAAGGGAAGAGAACATTCACCCAGCAAAGACCCGAGGAAACCGGGTTCGATACTTCAAAAGGCCACATGAGGACCCTCCTCATTTCAGCAGAGGGTCTCCTTGTTATTTTAATGTGATGAGAAATCACCGTACTTGGATTTTTAATGCTTCTTTCTCTCATTCCTAAGAAGAGCCCCACAGCTTCAATCTTGCCCAAAAAGCCCACATAATGCCCAAAGAATGAGTAGGATAATTGATTACCTTTTTCATATAGAGAATGATTGAGTCAATATTTTCCTGGTAAGACAGCTGAACATATGATGAGCCAGGTACACCGAAGGAAGCCCCTACACCCTCCCCACTTGACTGGGTTTCACCGTGCCCTGAGTGCAGGACCTCTCGGGCTGTCCTCATCAGCTGGAACCCCAGGGGACAGCGTGTCTTCCTGTCGGTTGCATCATCTGGAAGCACCATGCCCACCCTCTCTATCCAATTCACATTTCATTCCTATCTGTGTGTGCAGATAAGTGAGAAAGAAACTTTAGTGGAATTTAATACATACGTGGAATACATATTCTACATAACTTCACTCAACTAGACAGTAGGGATAGTGCATGGGATCGTCTGTATATACAACCCAGTTCAAAGACATTGAATCATGGCAGAGGAATACAGAATGACCACTGAGTCTTCTGAGCAAAAGTTTAAGATTAGAGAGAAAAATGCTGTTGTGAACTGAACACGAGCCTGGGAATCTCATCCAGCAAGGGGGTCCCAAACCTGGAAGAGGGCATGCGCGGAAAAGAAAGGCGACAGAGAGAGGAGGGGTCTGGAGGACTGGATGGGCTATACCCATGCAGCGATTTTATTTGTGCAGCAGGTTTCCTTATATACTTTTTTCTTTAACATCATTACCTCAATGCAATCATTACTCAAACAATAAAAGGAACAGAAAATTCCTTGGGGGATGATTCTGAGGAACTATCAAAAGGGAACAAATACTAATTTAAAAGATCAATGGGAAACAGGTGATGCTGATTATCGATATTGTCAGAACAATCAGTAACTTGGATAACAATCTTTAATTAACTAGAAATCACAAGCTCAGCAATAAACCATGCATCTTTGAGAGACAAGGACCACAGGGGAGGTCGCCAGGCTGAAACAATGCCTGGTAAACAAAGTCTTAGATCAGAAGCCAGAAAGGGGAACACAATACCCAATTAACTCACTTCAGTGTTCACCTGGTCATTATCTCATCGGCCAAGAAGGCTGAGGATAGTGTCCTGCTTAATCATTCTCAATTTCCTCTTTCATTCTCTTCTTAATTTCCTCTTACTCATAGCTGGACATCCTCCAGCCAGGGAAAATGTGTAAGGAGTCAAGCTCACCTAATGGCAGAGGCCAAGTTGTTAGCCTCTCGCAGGGGCGGCACCCACAAAATGCTACCCAGAAGGATCTCAAATTCATGGGACAAAATGTCAGGACACCAGAATATCGGTGTAGGAAACTGCAAAGAAGGATAAATAGGAAAATGCCATGGAGGCCACAAGGACAACCAAGTGCACGTAACCAAGGGCACATGGCTAGGTCACCTCGATAAAGGGTTCTGACAACCATGTTTCTAAAGAGAAGAATTTTACATTTCTTTTCAGACATTTCCAAGGGAATTATATCAGAAGCACAAGAGTCTTGGTGAGATGCCCGTGGATCCGCACAACAAGAGTGCTGGCCCCAGTCCAGCACTTACCTCACTGATTATGACTGTCCACGGCTCCATGTCCCCAAAGATTGTAGGTGCTGGGACAACCCCTGACACATTCTAGGCAATGAATGGCTGTTTACTAACCAGCAAATTTTATAAATATGTGCATCTATGTCACTTCAGTGTTCACTACTGAATGACCACATAGTTCCTTAGCTACACAAGCCAGAAAAATAGTAATAATATTATTTTTCACATAGTAAATTTTTTATTGGAGGGATAAGAACATCTAAAATCTACATTCATAGAAAAATTTTAGTATGCAATATAATATTATAATCCTTGTTCTGCACATTACATTTCTAGACTCATTTGATTGATCATAGTTGACATGACTACAACCGTAAAGACTGTTGAGATTACATTGCCCTTTAGAAATAACTTGACTCAAGAAAAAAATTGAAATGGCACCCACAAAAAAAGCTGATAGCATTTTTTTTTTTTTTTTTTTTGAGACGGAGTTTCGCTCTTGTTACCCAGGCTGGAGTGCAATGGCGCAATCTTGGCTCATCACAACCTCCGCCTCCTGGGTTCAGGCAATTCTCCTGCCTCAGCCTCCTGAGTAGCTGGGATTACAGGCACGCACCACCATGCCCAGCTAATTTTTTGTACTTTAGTAGGGATGGAGTTTCACCATGTTGACCAGGATGGTCTCGATCTCTTGACCTCGTGATCCACCCACCTCGGCCTCCCAAACTGCTGAGATTACAGGCTTGAGCCAACACACCCGGCGCTGAGAGCATTTTTATAATAAACAACTATGAAAGAAAGATGCTATGTTTTGAGAAGAATTTAAAGTACTGACTTAGGTTAAATTATTTAAGACAAAAAAAAAATAAAGTGTGATTTAACTCATTTGTAGTTTAAAGTCAGCAGAATATATATACTTTTAATTGTCATCCTGCTAAGAAGATACGTTTACTGAAATCAACAAGGTTTTAAGTTTTTCGGTTTTTAAATACCATATTTTAACATAACAAAACCCCATCTCTACCAAAAATTAGCCAGGCATGGTGGTGAGCACCTGTAATCCCATTTACTTTGGGGGCTTGAGGCAGGATAATTGCTTAAACCCAGGAAGCAGAGGTTGCAGTGGGCCAAGATTATACCGTTGCACTCCGGCCTGGGCAACAGAGACTCTGTTTCAAAAACAAAACTCATTTTACTGGTCTCTTCATTCATTTCACTGGTCTCTATAACAGACTTAAAAGAAAGATTATAGACTATAACTCACGCTTTGTGCTACTATCTACCTCCTACTTATTCTTGATCTGAAGGGAAAGGTCTGTGATTTAGAATTGTCGTCAACACACAGTATTCTAAGCATATAATATTTTCGTTACCAAATTTCATCTTCCCTGCTTGAAAAATTACTAGCAAAATGAGGTAATGACAAGAGATCAACATGTCAGAAGTCAAAAGAAGGCAATCTGGGGCTACTGACTTCCTGGCCATGTTATCCCTAAGAAATCAGTCACTTGGGCATCCCTGGGTAGGAAAGACTACTTTGTGTTGTTGAGGTCACAGCCACATCAACTGCTGGCAGAGATGGAGTGAGTTAAATCACAAAAGCTAAGAGTAAATAGTGTTGGTCAAACAATTAGACCCAATCCTGATATCCCTGAGAATTTCAGATGGAGAAGCATTTTCCAAAGAAAACAGTTGTTTCACAACAATCTGACAATGACTTTTTCTTGCCTGTAAATTTTATTTGAAAAATGATAAGGATAAAGATAACTACATTTTTCTGCCCTTTACACTCATTTGATTTAAAATAAAATTTCAAACCCCCTAGAACCTGGAGGCTGTCACCACATATCCTGCTCATTCAACCTGGAGTTGACACACCTTCTCAGGTGTCACCACCATTCATGTACATACACGACTAGTGATGCATCTTCATCAGACGCTGCTGATTAAATCTATCATGCTCAGTTACTCCTCCCAGGAAGAATCAAGCCATGAGAAAATGGAAGTAAGGTTAACGATGAGGAAAAGGAGAAGTTATGGAAAGTACTGGAAGTCTGGGGACATGAAATGGGCTGGAAAGGAAAGAAATTTAATGGGAGCTCCTAAACTCACAGGAGCAGAAAGGGGGCAAAAGGTTAGAATGAACTACCATAAATTGGAGGGGAAAAACAAGATGGATAAAGACATCGAAGATAAAAGTCAATTTTACCTAATGCACAACTCTGTCTCCAGCAGGATCTACTCCTCCAGGCTTAGTGGGTAGTAACTATCGGAACGTTGGCAGAGGTGCAGAAACTAAGAAATAAACCAAGACTACAAAATTGCCACTGTGCCTACCTCAGTACACCTTTCTTCCCCCACTCCAGGTAACACTCACATAGAAGGCACAGCACAAAATGAATGCCCACTGGTTGATTAGTAAGAAGTTGTAAAGTAGGCACAGAATGGCAAAGGCACCATCACACTGTTACCAAGCAAAGGAGGCTCACTGCCTGCTGCACTCCTAGAAGTCAAAACTATAACACTGGGTTTTTGAGAAAATAAAAACTTTTATAGAATGTCAACCAACAAGGAATTAGGAAGTCCAGCTCAAATCTGTCTCCCTGCGCTGGCTTTAGGGAAGTGATTTTATTAGAAAATGTTTCGAGTGTGAATTCAGGGACTATCAGGTGCTTGGTGGAAGGAATGAGGAGGTCTGGAAAGTCCTTGGGCATGTGCTCCTCTCTCTTCATGCTACCTAAGTGTTCCACATGCAAATTTAGGGAGGAGATAGTATGAAACATGCAGTAGAAATTCAGCTGTAAGGTCAGCAAGCTGGGTCTGTGCAGACTCCAGTTGGCCATATTGGTTCACAGGGATTTTGGCCAGTTTTATTAACATAAAAGCCCAGGCAGTTTCAGCATTTCAGCAAGTTGTTTCTTTTATCTGCCATTCTGTAAACTCAAGAATTTCTATGGCTTTTTTGTTGTTTCTGTTGTTTTGTTTTTACTCTTTGGCAGATAGTTTCAATGACCTTCTTCTCAGCCCTCACCTCCTGATTCCTGCAGCTCAGTTCTAACCTCCCACACTGTGTTAGTCGGTTCTCACACTGCTATAAAGAACTGCCCGATACTGGGTAATTTATAAAGGAAAGAGGTTTAGTTGACTCACAGTCTCCCATGGGTGGGGAAGCCTCAGGAAACTTACAATCATTGCAGAAGACCAAGGAGAAGCACTCACCTTTTTCACAAGGCGGCAGGAAGGAGTGGTGCTGAGAGAAGGGGGAAGAGCCCCTTATAAAACCATCAGATTTTGTGAGAATTCACTCACTATTACCAGAACAGCATGAGGGAAACTGCCCCCGTGACACAATTACTTTCACCCGGTCTCTCCTTTCACATGTGGGGATTATGGGGCTTGCAATTCAAAATGAGATTTGGGTGGGGACACAAAGCCTAACTATATCACACAACCTAACCTTCCCACATCCCATTCCTTGATGCGGGGGGAGGTGGGAAGAGGGGTGACACCGCTGTTTTCAGTCATCACAGGCACTCATGACCCTGTAGGTGCAGAGAAGGGGCTCACATTTATTTCTTTTGGGGAAAACTGAGGTAATCAAGGTGGGGCTAGGCCCTGGGGACAAGGCAAGTAAGGACTTTGCCACGTCCGCATTCACTAGAGAAGGAGCAGAAGCTCTGTTAGGGCGCCATCCCACGGGCTGCAGTTGCAGAATCCTGCAGACTCCATCCCCGATCTGGCCCCAATTTTTGCGAGGTGACCTGGGGAGGGAGGACAGATTGGATGCTCTGACCTCACCAGGGTCTGCGCTGGACCGTAGGTCTTCCTCCGCCCAGTCGGCAGAGAGAGTTTCCTGGCCGGCCCCAGAGAGCTCCAGATCTGACAGCCCTGGGAAAAGAAACTGAGATCACCTTCGCCGCCGCGGCCGCCAGAGGGCGCCTGGGGGCAGGGAGAGGGTGGGGCTAGGCGGGTCCGGCAGGAGGCGGGGCGGTGAGCCGAGAGGGGCGGGGCGAGGGGCAGAGAAGAGGGCCGGGGGCCGCAAGGCGGAAGAGGCCCTTTCACCACCGACCCGGCGCCTGGCGCTCTCTTCTTCACTCTTGGTACTGACGCGCGTTCTTGCCTATCCCGCAGCGTTAGGCTGGCTTCCTCCGAGGCCTCTAAGACCCGCCTACCGCACCCCGCCCGTCGCGCGGAAGCCCCCAGCTCCTCATGGACGCATCGCTTAGTGCCGCGGTCACGGCCACCGTCACAAGCGCCCCCAGCCCCACCCAACACCGGCCTGCCCGCCGTCCCTCTCCCGCCCCCGCACCTGCCTGCCAGCTCCACCGGGCCGCAGTGCGGGCAACCGCAACATTCCTGGCCCGCGGAGGCCGTCAGCTCCAGGAGGGGATGAAAGGCGCCGTCCCGCGGCGCCCCCAGATTCAGGTCCCAGGTGCGTCCGGACCCCGGAGGCACGGCTCGCAGAACGTTGACAGCCCGCGAGGTTCGGCCTCGGCCCCCGGTACCCTTCGTCCAAGCTACACCCACTCCTGGCCTTCCCCCCAAGTCCGAGGGAGAGGTGAGATTCTTCCTGACGCAGTTGGAAACTGGGAATCCCCTTTAGGGTAGGGTTCATGCTGCACCACTGACTCCACCATCTGCAAAGGGATTCTTGTGCAGAATCCCCGAATGCTTTAGGACAGCTCTTGGTTCTGTTATATGAAGAGTCTAATTTTCGGAAAGGCCACAGGCTTTTCATCAACTGAATTAAATTTCAGTTGATGTCCACAAAGCGGACTGGTACGAACCTGCTGGATGGTGGTCATTCTGGTGACTACTTGGAGACACCTTCCACTTTGTGGATTTGTTTCTGTTGAAATGTATTTCCATAGAATTTATTTAGGTCTCTGTTTACTACTGATTTGACGGCTTTAAGTGAGGAGGGAAGCCCGTGATTTCTGTGCAGCTTTAGATTGAACAATTTAGCAGCGCAAAATGTGTTTTCTGCCTGCCTTAACTCGATAAGCCAAATATGCCCTCCATTTCTTTTCTAGGTTGTGCCTTTTTAGCCAAGAAGCATGGAGGTCATTCACGGCAGGCCCTACTGTTGCAGGGAGCTGGAAGGCGCTGACATACTGTCCAACACCTTTTACTCTAATGAGTTGCACACCCCCCTCCAAATGGCTATTCGCCCAACTGCCTCAGAGGACAGGTAAAACAAAAACTAGAAAAAGCAAACAAGAAAAAGCAGTTTTAATGTATTAGTGTATTTTATTATGAGAGGAAAAACATTTATTTTCTGGGGCTCTTCTGTTGTTTGTTCGTTTGTTTTTGAGACATAGTCTTGCTGTCGCCCAGGCTGGAGTGCAATGGCGCGATCTCGGCTCACTGCAACCTCCGCTTCCAAGTTCTAGTGATTCTCCTGCCTCACCCTTCCGAGTAGCTGGGATTACAGGCATGCGCCACTGTGCCCAGCTAATATTTTTGTATTTTTAGTAGAGACGGGGTTTCACCATGTTGGCCAGGCTGGTCTCGAATTCCTGACCTCAAATGATCCACCCACCTCAGCCTGCCAAAGTGCTTCTGTTTATCACATCACAGTGAAGGCAAACGTGGCAATTAACTAAACCTTCGAGTGTCTGTAAGGAACCTGAGAAGTAAGTGGCTGTGTACTATGAAGACATCAAATTCATCCACTACATTGTAAAATTTTAGAATAGTCTGTTCCTTCATTGGGGAATTAATCTGTTTTAATCAAAGACTTTTTATTTTATAAAGAGAGTACTATATTGGTTTCCTAACATGCCCTTCTGCCATCTGCCCAAAAATACTCCCAGAATTTGCTGCTTATAGTTGTCTAAATTTTTGCTTTACCAAATTCCCTGTAACACATTAATTATACCATTATGATTTGAATTGTGGAAAGCAGTTTAGTGATTTCTCAACTCCGAACAGAATTACCATGTGACCTAGCAATCCCATTATTGGATTCTCAGTTGTTCTTATAAGTTGTTCTACCAAAGGAATATAAGTATTCTACATATAAAAAGATACATGCACAGGTCTGTTCATCAGCAAAGATATGGAATCAGCCTAAATGCCCATCAGTGGTTGACTGGATATAGAAAACATGGTACATATATACGATGGAATACTATGCAGCCATAAAACATGAGATCATGTCTTTTGCAGCAACATGGATAGAGCTGGAGGCCATTATTCTAAGCAAACTAACACAGGAACAGAAAACCAAATATCACATGTTCTCACTTATATGTGGGAGCTAAACATTGAGTACATAGGGAGACAAAGAAGGGAATAACAGACATCAAGGCCTACTTGAAGGTAGAGAGAAGGAGGAAAGCAAGGATCAGAAAACTACCTCTTGGGTGCTATGCTTATCACCTGGGTGACAAAATGATCTGTACACCAAACCCCTGCAACATGCAATCTACCTGTATAACAAACCTGCATATGTACCCCTGAACCTAGAATGAAAGTTTTTTTAAAAAAATTACAATGAAAAAAATTGCATCTAACATATCTAGTGATTACTGTGCGTTAGCACTCTACCAGATGCTTTGTATATAGTAATTATTTTAATTCTCATGAGAACCTTATAAGATAAATGCTATTGTTACCTGCATTTTGCATTTGAAATAACAGATAACAGACAAGTAATTTGCCAAGATCCTAGTGCCAGCACTTCCTGTATTGTATTTACTTGAATCATTTTGAGGAAAGAAAAAGGGAAAAAACACCTCAAAACACCTGGCCAGTGAAAAAATAGCCTGTGTGGTTGTCTACTTGTGTGTTTTGTGTTTTTTTAAGTTCACTTGGTCAAGTCTCTCATTTAAGAGTTCTTTAGGAAACCAGACAGGAAGTCACCCAGACTCAGTTTAAACACCAAAAAGGACAGCACTTCGACACCAGGCAGTCTATTCCATTTTTGAATGCTCCTGATTGTTAGATAATTTTCTTTATAATGAGAACAGTTTTTTTTCCTTATAATTTCTGCCTGCTGATTCTGGTTCCTCCCTCTGAAGCTATGCAAAATCATAATTCATCCTTCCCATGCTAGCAACCCTTCAAGATCTGAAGATTCTCTTGGCCCCTCTGAGCATTCTGTTTGCCATACTCAACACTGATCACAGATTCTGCTCCTTTTCCTTCTTGCACTTAGATTTTCACCATCCTGATCAGGCTTTCACAGATCTTTTCCAGTTTATAAACATGCCCTTTATATTAAAGAAAAAGAATGGGCCGAATGCGGTGGCTCATGCCTGTAATCCCAGTACTTTGGGAGGCCAACGCAGATGGTCAGGAGTTCAAGAGCAGCCTGGCCAAAATGGTGAAAGCCATCTCCACTAAAAATACAAAAATTAGCCAGGCATATTGGCAGCAGTCTGTAATCCCAGCTACTCGGGAGGCTGATGCAGAAGAATCACTTGAACCTGGGAGGCAGAGGTTGCAGTGAGCTGAGATCAGGTCACTGCACTCCAGCCTGGGTGAAAGAGTGAGACTCTGTCTCAAGAAGAAAAAAAAAAGAAAAGAAAAAGAATGATTTTTCCTTAATTATAAAACTAACACACTTATAATGTAGAAATCTGTAAGGAAAACAAATTCTTTGTTTTTCCAACAGAAAAATTATGCAAATGAAGCACAGGAACGAAACCCTCTGTACTTCCTTTATCCGGAGATAAAAACTACTATGTTAACATCTCAGTATGTGTCCTTTCCAATATTTTTAAATGTAAAGATCGTATTCAGCATTTTTAAAATCAATTGCTATTTTCACTTAATTAAAAGAAATATTCTTATATTGGGGGAAGAGAGCTCTTGTCACTTCTGGGTCAGTCCTTGCTGCCCATACTCCTCTACCATTGACCTGATTCACCAGAGTGGTTTTCAGCCCTGAATTCCTGTTTAACTCCAAGGGCTTTCACATTAGGCAGAGTTTCCAAGAGTCAAATGAAACCCTTAGCAGATTGTATGAGATCTGGCAGTTGTCCCTGGCTCAGAAACAGCAATGTAAGGTTTTATATTCAGCCTAAGGAATCTAAGAATTTAGGGCTGCCATATCTGACTGCACCATCAAAAAGCACTGTCAAAGCGTTTTCACCGAAAATGCTTTAGTTTGTTTTTCAGCTTTTGATCCTCTCTACCTAAACGATCCTGTAGTTGGTTAGTGATTGGCTCACTAACCAAGTACATTTTTTGTTAACACGCTATAAAATTCAACATGCTGTATGGTCAACTATAAACTACAATAAGGTATTATTCGAAGCTCTATCTGGTACAACCATGTTCCTGGCTCCTAATAACTAAAACTTGCTTTCCCTTTTATTTCACGTGAATTCTTTCCTTTCACAATCCCCACATTGAAAAAACCAGGATGATCATGTATTCTCAGAACCCCTCCTCTTAACCCCTTCTTAAAAAAGCAGCCCGACAGCTTACAGAAGAGTCTCTTTACTCTCAATGTTAGTAATGGAGCTTCTCCGGATGGTGTCATCAGGATACTGGTGGTACTTCTCTTCTGTCATTGCTGAGGCTCACTTCTTCAGACCAGGTGTAGGGTCCATAGCTCCCAATTCAAATCACAAGGTATTTCAACAGCAAAACAAAACAATACAAAACAGAAAGCCCCTGGTTTTTAGGGATTACCTTCTTAATGGTAAGGATGAATGTGAGCCCTAGCATATATTTGCGCTCAGCAGCTTAATTTTCTAAACAAGGATGTATTTAAAGGGATACACTTTTTAAATATCGTGATGTATCTAGGTACAACTTAGATCATGTAGGCTGTACCTACAACCTAGATGCAGCCATCATGGCACTCACTTGGTTCTAACAGTGACGCAAAATGATTTCCTCACATCAGCCTACTTTTTTTTTCTTTTCACAATAGGTGAGGCAAATACAAAAATTAGCCTGTGTGTTGGCTCACACCTGTCATCCCAGCTGGTTGGGAGGCTGAGGTGGGAGGATCACTTGAGCCCAGAGGCAGAGGTTGCAGTGAGCCAAGATCACACCACTGCACTCCAGACGGAGCAACAGAGCGAGACATTGTCTCAAAAATCAAAACAAGGCCGGGCATGGTGGCTCACGCCTGTAACCCAAGCACTTTGGAGGCCAAGGCGGGCAGATCACCTGAGGTTGGGAGTTCAAGACTAGCCTGACCAACGTGGTAAAACCCCGTCTTTAAAAATAAAAATAATTTTTTAAAAATCAAAACAAAATAAAACAGTATAACAATAGGTAACGTGGTCTAGCTCCACTGTTACCCAGGACTGGTCTACAGATAGGGTACTTCAAAATCACCTGAGGAGCTTTCTAGAAACACAGATTCCTAGGCTTCCTCTATGGACTTTCTGACTCCTCAGGTCTGAGTCAGGGCAAGAGAATATGCATTTTTTAGGTTTTCAGCTTACATTGAAAACTACTGGGCTGGCAGTGCTGAAAATGTAAGAAAACAAGGACTGTGGTTGTGGCTTCTCTGATGACCAAGAGCACGTTAGTTGTTATGCTTTCATTACTTTATGAAACAATTATACTAGCTATGATTTTATATAAACTCACTTTATCTCTGTTAAAAATATTAAGTAAATAGGCCGAGGCAGGTGGATCACTTGAGGTCAGGGGTTTCGAGACCAGCCTGGCCTACATGGCCAAACCCTGTCTCCACTAAAAATACAAAAATTAGCTGGGCGTGGTAGCGGATGCCTGTAATCCCAGCTACTGGGGAGGCTGAGGCAGGAGAATCACTTGAACCTGGGAGGCTGAGGTGGCGGTGAGCCGAGATCGTGCCATTGCACTCCAGCCTGGTGACAAGAGTGAAACTCCATCTCAGAAAAAAGAAATTAAGTAAATAAACAGGTAGTATTTTGTTTTCATTTTTTCTCTTGAGAATTTAACTGTGGCAGGAACAGTAACTCAAAATCATCAAGATTCCTATCCCCTTTTTCATTCAGCTGACTTCTCCATACTTCTAGCAAGTTTTCTTAGCTCACAGGACAAACAAACATATCCATTAAGGAAGTACCTTGAGAATTGCTTAGGATTTCATTATAGAATTTCATTATTAGTTCTTAGTTCCCATTTGTTTCTAGAATCACTTGGCTGCTTTCTGACTCTTAAAACATTTTTTTTAAATAATAGTTATCTGCCAACTAAAAATGAGGGTTATGTTTATTTCAAGCTTTTCTTTAA